TATTTCTTTTGGAACCCATATATATTACGTAAACTTGTTTAGGTTTGACAAAAGAATTATTAATCTTATATTTATTTTTATCAAATCCAATTCCATAATGATTCTTAACACTTTGTTTTTGAAAAACAACTGGTTTCTTAACAACTTGTTTTTCTTTGTGAAAACCAATACCAAACTTATTATTAGAAGGAGTTTGATATGAAAGCAAATTATTTAAATCTTCTTTGTCTTTATTAAACTTAGATACATTTTAGACATCTCTTCATAGTTAGATTTAAGAGAAGAAAAATCTAAGTCTAAGTTAGAAATTCTAGAATTCAAAGATTGTATTTGACATTCAACAAAAAAAATTCTTTTAACAAATTATCATTTTCTTTAATCAAATTCTTGTTTTTCAATTTCCCAGTTTTGAATTCTATAAATATTTCATTGAATGCATCTAGTAATTCATTAGAATCATGAAGATCGTTTATCTCATCTTCCTCAGCCGTGAAGCAAACGTTAGCAACTTCATTTTCTTCCTCTTCTTCTTCAAATGAAGAATCGTTGTCATCCCATGTTGCTTGGAACACCTTCTTTTTCTTTATGAATTTGTTCGTCTTGTGATTAGGCTTTGACTTTGTATTCATTGTTGGGCAATCTTTCTTTATATGGCCTGGTTTATTACACTTAAAACAAACAGATAAGTCATTAGTATCCTTATTCTTTTGATTGAACCTACCTTTATGAAGAAATTTTCTAAATTTCTTAGTTATCAATGCCATCTCTTCTTCATCTGAATCCTCTGGATCGGATGTAGCCTTGAAAGCAAGGGGCTTCTTCTTCGTTTGTTGTGGTTCAATACCTTTCTTTCTATCTTCGATCTGCACTTCATAGGATATGAGATTTCCAACAAGATTCTCAAGAGTGAGAGTTGATAGATCGTTGGCTTCCTCTATGGCGGTAGTCTTCTTTTTCCATTTAGGAGTTAGTGCGTGAAGAACTTTTCTCACCATCTCAACTTATGTATAGTTTTTTGCCAAGAGCCACAAGCGAGTTTGTAATGTCAGTGAAGCGAGTGATCATTTCAGATATCGTTTCATTCTCCCTCATCCTAAACATCTCAAACTTGTGTACAAGAACAGATATCTTAGATTCCTTAACCTTATTCGTACATTCGTGTGTTACCTCAAGTGTATGTAAAATTTGATGCGCTAATGTAGCAGTAGACACACAATTGAATTCTTCTTTGGTTAAGGCACAAAATAGAGCATTCATCGCCTTTGCATCAAGATTGACAAATCTCTTTTGATCATCACTCCATTGATCGTATGGGATTGAGGGCCTTGTGAATTCCGTCTCTATGATGTTCCATATCTCGTAGTTGATGGATTGCAAGTACTTTTTCATTCTGCACTTCCAATGGTTGTAATTTGAACCATCAAAGAGCGGTGGCCGTTGTGTTGATCGTCCTTCATTGTACTGCTTAGTTGATGATGTCATTGCAATAACCTTGTTCTAATACCAAGTGTTGGATCCTGTATGCAATGCTCAAAGCACTAGGGGGTGAATAGTGCTTAATAAAAAATTTCTTGCAAAATTGAACAATAATCAACAAAAGTGCGGAATATAAAACAATCAAACCATAAATGAACAATCATAAACACACGGATTTATACTGGTCCGGTCCTCCAGACCTACGTCCAGTCTCCAAGCAACCCGCTTGAGATTTTCTACTATTTTTGAATTTCCTTACAAGATTAACATCTGCACCTTGACAATCCCCTTGCCAACAATGCAAACACCTTCTCAAACTAGAGAAGAACATTCCCTCAAACTTGAGAGAACAACTTAAAGAAGATTACGATGCTTTTCCCTATAAGCCTTTATGAAGAAGTGATCTCAGTGGCTAATAGGATTTCTCCTTGGTTGCCTAATAACAACTTTAAAAGCTTTTTGAAAGTTGAAGGCAAGAGAGAAAAAGTTTCAGATTTTCAACTTGTGAATATCAAAATTTTGAATGAATGCTTCTAATTTGAAAAGTGAACTCAAAAGTATATATACTAACCAAAAGAAATAACATATGAGTTCAAATTCTCTGTCAAAATTTTGATTTTTAACTGCCATAAACGGCTAAAACAATTTGAAAATCAAAATCAAATAGTAATAAACTGTATGTATCAATCGACTGGTGAACTCATCAGTCGACTGGTAAGAAACTTTTAACAAAAACTGTATGTTCAATCAGTCGTTTGATATCAAGATCGATCGACTTGCCAGAACATTCTAAAAATGATTGTATGATGGATCAGTCGACTAATATACATATCGGTCGACTGTCCAGAGAGTTTTATCAAAAACTATTTGTCAGTGATCAGTCGACTGGTTCAAAAATAAGTTGACCGATCGGAAACTTTTGGTTAAGTCTCAAGGTTTCATCAGTCAACTGATAATCTGATCAGTCGACTGGCCTTAGTTAGTTTGACAAATTATTTGAAAACTTATTCTCACTTTAAAATCAAATGTGAATAAAAAACAAGATTGAAAATTTAATTAACTAGTATTAAAATTAATTAGTATGAGTTAACTTAGGCTAGGGGTTAAGTCACCTAGTAATCTAAGCCTAGCGTGTGTGTGTGTGTATCATCAAGGCTTTTAACAAAATAGACTAAGATAAAGAAAAAAATACATTCATGTTAGAGCAACTCCTTTATCTAGTAGTCTTGAGCCTTGCCTTGCTTGATCAACTTGGGTAGCACTACAAATGATTCATGTTAGTCAAAATTCAATTTTTGTTATCATCAAAATTACTTGGTAAACAAATCCAAGGAAGTCAATATGCAATAGCTCCTAAAGTTCCATGAAGTTTATCGGATAAAAAATATCAGTTGTGTTTTGTGCAATAAAACCTTAAAGTTTAGGGGTTTCCCTTGCAGTTAACCAAAAATTTGTGTTTCACTTGGTAGGGGCGCGCTAGGCTTGTGCAGAAGTGCAACGCATGGGTGACACTTGAGGAGCCCTAGTAGCAAGCTACTGTGGTGGGCTCTCCCCCAACAAAAATTAATTTAATATCATAGTGGGCCGATGGCCCATGTATTAGATATTAAACTGATAAGAACATATACTACAATTGATCTTAGGGGTTGTTTGGTTCGCTATTATAAGGGGTGGAAAACTCAGAAAACCCCTCCACGTCAGCTTTTTTGTTTCCGTCCATTTCTTTGTGCCGCTTTGGTTCGCTCGAATGGAAGAGAGAAAACTCTGCTGAAATCGCCGCCAACTAAGATTTTTTCCCCTCTCCGGTTTCCTTCCCCAATCAAGTGAAATTGATGAAAACTCTGTCACGTCAGATTTTTTTCCTTCTCTGCTTTGTTTACAAAAGTTTTCCTTTTTTTCCTATGCGAACCAAACACAAGAAAAATAAATACATTGGTTTCCCACCATTTTTTATGTGCGAACCAAAGCAAAACAATCTATTTCTTGAAAAAGTTTGGAAAACTCAAAACTTGTGTTTCTTTACATGGAATTGCATTTCTCTATATCAAGGAAACGAACCAAACAGCCCCTTAGCCAAAAGGCCGAGAAAAGTATGATTTGCTAGGTAAGAGGTAACCCTCTTTTGTACGTGGTCTTTCTTTCCTTGTGTCTATTTCTAGCCGATGCGGGACTAAAAGCGGGCAAAAAAACCTCACCGTCAATACACAACGTTAGTTTTCTTGCTTTTAAATGCTGAAATCTTATTAAACTTATTGGCCAATCATCAACCAAAAGATATCATAGATCACTGAAGGTTCGTTTAATGTAGAGTCTCTACAAAGAGTGCTCTACTGTGTTTGCTAAAGTCTACAGAGAAAGCAAATTCAACACAGGATACTTGATTCAGAGAACATCTTGGATATTGCAGCTTGTGATTAGTATCCTTGATAATTTAGTTAATCTAAAGAAGGATTAAAGCCCTAGAATATATATCGGATAATCATATTAAAAAAAAATTTACCACAAAACGAAAACCGAGACTTCATTCTTTATCAGCTTTGTTTTCAGAAGGGGACGATCAGTGATGGGTCTGAGCCACTAATTTCATTAAAAATGGATTAAAGAAAACAATGGGAAGTATACATGCAAAGTAAATGTTTGATGTCACGCAACTAAATTACTGGGCTCAAAAATTTCGAAAACAGGCAATTGTGACATTTCAAGAAACAAGTATGACTGAACATAAAGCATAGGTTACATTTTTCATATAAACAAATCAACAAAACACATAATTTTTTTGTCCACAAAACTTGTGGCACAAAAATGATTCACAAGAAATTAGATGAAAATGAACAGAGAAATGTATAAAAGAGAGGGGAACAAATAACTTCAAGCACTGGAATCTCTTGCTTTTGAACAACCTGAATACCTGAGAGGAAGAGGGTGGGTGGGGTGGGGTGGGGGGGCGAATTATTGTTTAAGGGCGAGGGGTGCACCCAAAAAAGAACACTCAAACGAGTTTTTGGATATTTGAAAGTTAGGGAGCTAATCTGATATATTTTAGCTGAACTCAGTATTCATGCAAGCCCAAGCCCAGAACTTCACAAAACAACTCCAGTCCTTCCCAAACCCTAGCTCGCCCCCTAAACCCCGTACCTTTCGTTCCTCCTGCGCTTCGTCGTCCCAAATCACCGCCGACCCAAGAGATCAGCAGCGACTGTGTAAGTTTTCAAACCCTATATTGGGTGGAAGTGAACCGAATAATTAATAAACAGTTCGGTTGTTATTCGTTCAGATATTCGATCAAGTTCGATTCGGTAGTTCATTTAGTACTAAACAAATATTTTTTAGTATTCGGCTTATAAATGAATAGAATTTAACAAAATGTATGTTCGATCCGGGGCCCATTAACTATTCGATTTTTTTTGCATTTTAGTCCTATTCACTGAATTTATTGCAAATATTACTTACCTAAAATTTTATTTACAAATGCTATCCATATAAATAGCTAGGAGAGGATTCTGGGTCTAGGGTTTTGACTTTTCTTCTTTGCCTCTGTCAGCCTCCTCCTCCTCCGGATCCGACTCTAGCTCGGCTCCTCTCGCTCTCTCCTCCTTCAGGTCCGTGACTACAAGTGGATTCTAGAGCTCGGGTTTTCACTGTTCTCCCTCGAAGCTGGTTGCTCACTCCTCCCTCAAAGCTCGTCGTCCCTCGAATCTCGTCGTCGAATCCTCCGTCGAAGCTCGTCGTCCCTCGAATCTCGTCGTCGACTCCTCCCTCGAATTTCGTCGGATTTTGTGTCGGCTTTGGGGAAATCGCTGCCTTTCTTAGGGGATTTCGTCGGATTTTTGCTTGATTTGTTGGATTTCGGCAATTACAGGTATAATTTCTCCATGATATTCCCTTTTGTCGAGTAGTTGATGAATAATTTGATATCAAAACCATGATATATTGTTAATCGAATGTTCGCTAATAGTTACCGAACACGAACACAACTAAACGAAGCTAATTCGAATTCTGAATATTATTCGAGTCGAATTCGAACACGAATACGAATAGTGTTATTTGAATATTGTTATTTGAGCCGAATTCGAATTCGAATAAAACAGTGTCGTTCAGATTCGCATCGTTTCCACCCCTACCCTAGAATTGATTTGTCATTCGATTTTAACAGCAAGCAATTGATTATTCTCTTTGTCTCTTACCGGAAGATCGATTTTTCCTTTATTTGAATTACGAGTTGGTGATTACTCTTCATTCTTTCGTGCAGTTTTCGTATTAATAGAATGAGTTTGATCTCACAAAACGCCTTTATCAACAAGAAAGAGAAGCAAGATGAAGAACCAGCCAATGAGTCCTCACTCGCCATTGCCGAGGGGGGGAACGAATTGGGAGAGAAGCCCGAGTCACTGGCCTCGAAGAAGAAGAAGAACAGGAAGAAAAGAAACAGAGAAATTGATGAGAAATCGAGACTGGAGCAAGAGAGAGAGATGAAGAGGCTTGAGAGTTCTCTGTTTGGAACTCTCTATTCTCTGCCGGAGTTCGGAAAGGAAGCTGAAGTTGGGTTCGTTCTGCAAAAGTCAGCTGGTGACGAGATGGTTGTATATAAAGAGAATTTGGATGCTCAAGTCGAAGAAGAAGAAGATGTTAAAGCTGAGAGAGAGCCTGTTTGGGTTGACGAAGAGGAGGAGAAGGCAGAGATCAATATATTGAAGGTTAGAAGGCTGAGGAAATTGAGAAAGGAAGCTGAAGAGGAACTGATCTCAGGGAAGGACTATGTTGCGAGGCTACGAGCTCAGCATGCCAAATTGAACCCCGGAACTGAATGGGCACAAATTGATCGAAAAGATAACAATATTGTTGATTCTGATGATGAATCTGATAGTGGAAGTGGTGTCACTGTTGGCGATGATGTCCTTCGTTACAATGATGAGCTTGTGGTGAAGAGTGATGTAAAGCTGCTCCCTGGTTTATTGGAGTACTCGAGGTTGATGGATGCTAATGGTGAGGAGCCCTCAAATGGTCCTATTAACTCTGTCCATTTTCATAGAAATGGGCAATTGCTACTCACTGCTGGGTTAGACAAAAGATTGAGTTTCTTTCAAGTCGATGGAAAACGAAACACCAAAGTCCAGAGTATGTTCATTGAGGACTGCCCGATACACAAAGCTTCATTCTTGCCCGATGGTTCTCAGGTGATTTTATCAGGGAGAAGAAAGTTTTTCTATACTTTTGATTTGGTTAAGTCAGCGGTTGATAAGATTGGTCCCTTAACAGGTAGAGAGGAGAGGAGTTTAGAAGTGTTTGAGGTTTCTCCTGATTCAAAAACTATTGCATTCATCGGCAACGAAGGGTATATCCTTTTGGTTTCTTCTAGAACTAAGGAGCTTATAGGGACGTTGAAAATGAATGGAACTGCTCGGTCTTTGGCTTTTGTTGATGGTGGCCAGCAGCTAATGAGCAGTGGTGGAGATGGGCAAGTTTATAGTTGGGATCTTAGAATGAGGAGGTGCATTCATAAGGCAGTTGATGAAGGATGCATCACTGGTTCAGCTCTATGTGCTTCCCCGGACAACACTTTTTTCGCTGCTGGATCGAACAGTGGAATCGTGAATATTTACAAAAGAGAAGAGTTTCTTGGGGGTAAGAGAAAACCGTTGAAGACTATTGAGAGTCTAACGACAACAGTCAATTTTATGAAATTTAACCACGATGCTCAAATATTGGCTATATGTTCAAACATGAAGAAGAACAGTTTGAAGTTGGTTCATATTCCATCGTTCAGTGTCTTTTCCAACTGGCCTGCTCCGAGATTTAGCTTGCAGTATCCTCGGTGTTTGGATTTCAGTCCGGGTGGTGGTTTTATGGCCTTTGGCAATGCTGCTGGCAAGGTTTTGCTTTACAAGTTGCATCATTACCAGAAGGCGTGAAGCTTAGGGAGATATGGTGATAAACTTGTACTGTCACTTTTGGTGCGCATGTTATTTTTACTGTACTAGTTTGTATTTGTTTAAAATTTAGATGTTGAGAGTTGTTCATGGATATTGAGTTTTTTCACCTACTTGTTAGTGTGACCCAGTAATATTTCTGTTTTACCTTTGTTTTCGGAGCGAGTTAGCACATATGTGGTAACTATTGGGTTAAAGCTGAGTTTTGATGTTTATGCTGGATCATCAGCGATTTTCTTGAGTATATTAACGCAACACTTCACCATATTTATTTTTAAAGTTCTTTTATAAATTAATTTCTAGTAGTATGTGTTGCTTCTTTTTTTTTATTTTTTGTTATTAGTCATCGAATATTTTGACGTGAAACACTGTTATGCAATTAGAAACTAGCTTGAGATGTTATATCGATGAGATGATTTCAAGGTTTCGCACTTTATGAGATTGTTTCCCTGATTAGTGAGCTTGAATACTCATTGAATGCACCAGTTAGAAGTGATAAGAAGATTATATTATTGGAGAAAGGAGGACTAGAGGTAGGCGTAAGATGAGTTTGTTAGAAGCTTTTAAGAATGATATGTTAATGATTATTGATTAACTTAGTGGAGGAGATGACTGTCAACAAAACTGAGAAAACTGAGAGGAGTAGGATTCGTGTAGCCCACCCCAAAAATGTGGGGTGGAGAATTTGTTGTTGCAACTATTATCGTGTTGAATTTATTTTTTTGGTAAAGATTGGGTTTTTTGGATTTGATGGTGGAATGCTGATTAATGAAGAAAATTTTATTGTTTTACTGCTTGATTTCCGATTTCATGACCTGTGTCTCATCTAGCTTTAACAGTGGACATGATTATTCAAATTTACTTTGAATTGCGTAATAGAAAGTCAATTGTTAGCTTAGACAGCTTATTGGGACGACGTTGTTGGTTGGGAGTGGAAGCTATCTGTAAATTATGACAATTGAGAGCAACTCTAGAAGGTAATATACAATTTTAAGTTTTTACCATATATTAGATTTTCTTTATTCAGGATTTGAGAGACTATCAAGTGTGGAATTGAAATTTTGGTGATATGTGATCAGTGTTTGGGGTCCCATGACCATATGTATGAGAAAACATTCTTGCTTTTGTCAGACATACATGATGCATCTGGAAAATGGTATAGGAACTGGAATCTTATGAGCAGTATCAGTTGTATAAAGAGATATAGTAGCATATGTAGTGTAAAAAACATGATTAGATGATCTACAAATAGTTAATGAATTAAATCTCTAGCGCAGGTCACAATGGAGTTGAATGGAGATAAGGTTGGTAGTGACTTGAGTAACTCACTCTGAGACTTCAATTGGCCAAATGCAATATTAAGGCCAGCCTATATTAACTAGAGTAATTTCCATTACATTCCTTAAAAAAACAGTTCTTATCCTCCTATTGCAGTACAACATAAATACTTTATACAGTATTATTATTCATCAACCTTCTTTCCAACTCGCTCTTTCAGTCTGTCTCCTGGTATCATCTAAATTGGGGCGAACCAACTGACATCTTTGTTTATTAGGCCTAGATCCAGCAGGAAGGAAAGAGAGATCAAGAATTATTTTCCCATTTCTTACGTGTTACTGAAAATCTGAGTGAGTAAAATATTAGAAGTAAATGACATAGATATTGAGAAAAAAGTAGAGAAAATATAGCTTTTTGTGGCTCTCATGATGGATCTCTCAAAAACTAATCTGATTAGTCCTATTTCACCTAATGATGGCTGCCCTATTCTCTCATATGGGAAAACCTTACAAAGCAAGTTTTCGAGACAACTTGAGGAACCATATAGCTCACTCTCCCTTAATAACACCTACCAGTGAAGGATCGGAGAGGAGTGGAGGGAGAAAGAGAAGGAGAAGAAGTCTGGATCTGAATTTTCTTTAGCAATAATTGGCCTCATGTATACCTAATGAGTAATCATCTTGCAATATTCCTGTCAGTTTGGGTAGATATATGTACTCTTCCACTTTGAAGCAGATAGAATTGAGATACATATTACTCTTCCATTTTTCTTGTAGTGTTTGAGGGCTGTCCTTGTATTTTGAGTGCAACTGAATTTTACCTTTTGCTAGCGGTATTACTAAATAGTTGTGTAATTCTATGTACTTGGACAATTTTAACAGAGGTAAATTGTTATGTGCTATGTAATATTGATATTTATGTAGTTCTAGTACCACTACTTATCTCTAGTTTCAACCTTCTTATGGCAGTCCGATCCGCTCACTAGTTGAATCTGGTTCAATGCAAGTAAAAGATCAGATGTGAGACTTCATTATGGGGCTCGAAATCTCCAGAGAATGGCTTATCAGGTGGGAAGGTGCCTGTGTAGATTGCAATCTTAATCTTGTTATCAAAAGATAAATTCAGGTTACTTACTGGTTACTCTCTTTCGTCCTTCAGGATAGGTTCAAGGCTTGGGAAGCTACAGGGTTGAAAGTTGTACCTGTTTTATCACGACCAGATGCTATATGGAAAGGTGAAAGAGGCTACATACAGGTAAGCAGGTGAAAGAGGCTACGTACAGGTAAGCAGTGTATGGTTTTAAATGATTTTTTTTTTCTCTTTTTCGTGTTTGATTAGGCTCATCACCTGTAAGAAACTGGTTTTGTATATATTGCAGGCTGCATTTTCTAAGGCCAAGCAGATTATAGATCCTTTATCGACAGGAGCAGTGCTCTGCGGACATGGACAGATGACTGAGGTTTGTCATCTTTCTCAAATTACGCAACTGTGAGGTTTTATGTACATTTGGCAAAAGATTACTGGCTTCAGATGTATTACATTGTTGTGTATTATACATTTGTCTGCACTTAGTTTTAGTTCAAGAAAGTTAAAGAAATTTAAAGGAAAAACTTTGATGAATTGATTCAAGTATATGTCTGTTCATATGATCTTGTCAGTTACCCTTATAGGTCTTTATTTTAGCACCTTGTTTGAATGTAGTGTTCCCTGCCAAAAATTGTTGACCTACAAGAGTTTATCTCAAGCATTAATTTTGATCAGGCCCTTTTCTGAAATCCTTTATATTTAGAGTGCTGCATATTGACTGGCAATCTCAAGCATTAATTTTGATCAGGCCCTTTTTTGAAATCCATTATAATTAGAGTGCTGCATATTGACTGGCCATTTTCATTAAAGTAAATTGGCTTGGAGATGGTTTGGAAATTCACTGTAAAGGCGAGGCTTAGTGTGAGAGAGAGGAGAATGGTTGGAACAGGAGCTGGATCTAGGAATAAAACCAAATTTAGCAGGGTAATATAATGATTACTAATTTTAACAGAAGGGGAAATTTTAAGACTTTCATAAAACCAAATTTAGCAGGGTAATATAATGATTACTAATTTTAACAGAAGGGGAAATTTTAAGACTTTACTGAATTGAGAAGAGGTCTACCTACAGCGACGAAAAATTTTGGGGGATAAGACCCTTTGCTGTTTCTGCTGCGCTATTCCTCATGTGTAATGGGAAGTTGTGCCTTTTCAAGAAATCAACATAATTGTGCTAAATCTCGTCATTTGTATATTGAAGAGACTGAAGCAAATTGGATTGGTTTGGTAGCATTTAATAACTATCACACTCTGTTTTGGTACTAATATTATTGGCAAGTGAAGGAATGATGAAATTGTGGAGTTTGGTTTTGTGGGACTTTTGTTCTAAAACATAGGATTGAAACAGTGCAAGAAGTAATTAAATAAATCTCTCTGGAATTTTGATATCATAGGGAGACCATTGGTTCGTGGAAGCAGCTTATGATTAAAACTGGCTCATGACCTATGGCATATTAGTTGCATGAGCTATGGCATATTAGTCGCTAAGAGTAGAAAACCTTTGAAACCATTGACACCAGTGAGGAGTAAGCTAGAGAAAACTCCTATGATTTGTCTGAAGAAGTATTAGTATATTATTGAAGGAATCTACTGGTGTAATTAAGAGTTTCCCCCCTAGAAACCATCTTAAAAATAGGCTAATTATACAGAAACCATCTTTTAATTTTAATTTATAAATAAACCATCTTTAAAGTGGGTTTGTTTCAATCAAATTCCTCCTAGTCAAATTTTCATTAAAAATCCAAAATTATCCTTAAAAAAACTCACATTCAAGGTACGTGAACTCCTTTCTTTAGTATTTAGATTTTGTTAAGAATAGAACTCACGTACATCGAACTTGTATTTTTTAAGCTTGCATATGGTTTCTTAGTGAAATTTTTACTAGGAGATGGTTGATTGCAAAAAAAAACCTACTTGAAAGGTGGTTTATGTCTAAATTGAAATTGAAAGGTGGTTTCGGTATAATTACCCTATTTTTAATTTGGTTTGGGGGTTGGGGGGGGGGACCCCGCTATAATTAAACATTCTCAAGCATCATAAGCAAAAGTTAAGAGATCAATATATATATGTCTGACTATTCATTTTACAAATGTGATATTCCTTAGGTACTTTAAAACAAATATAATGCACTAAAGCGGACTTTAATAACTTTGTTTGTGTTCCTGGTTTTCAAAGATAGTAGGTTTTTTAGTTCAAGGTTCATGATGGTGAATATTTTTTCATCATTATCCTCATCATTTTTTTCATGAAAGTACTAACTGAAGAATGAGGTTTGTTATAAATACAATTATTCAGTAGAGAAGGCTCCCTTGAGATTGGCCTACTTTGCTACCAGATTTCAACTTTGGCCTGGAGATGGTCGTTCAGTAATTAGCATATCAGATGATCTCAAACATCAAAGCTTTTACCTACCGTTAGTCTGGAATCAAGAAATCACAAGATTTATTACAATATGCGCCTATCTGAGACATCCTGTAGAAGCCAACTTTCTCAAGCATAATTAAACATTCTCAAGCATCATAAGCAAAAGTTAAGAGATCAGTATATATATGTCTGATTATTCATTTTACAAATGTGATATTCCTTAGGTACTTTAAAACAAATATAATGCACTAAAGCGGACTTTAATAACTTTGTTTGTGTTCCTGGTTTTCAAAGATAGTAGGTTTTTTAGTTCAAGGTTCATGATGGTGAATATTTTTTCATCATTATCCTCATCATTTTTTTTCATGAAAGTACTAACTGACGAATGAGGTTTGTTATAAATACAATTATTCAGTAGAGAAGGCTCCCTTGAGATTGGCCTACTTTGCTACCAGATTTCAACTTTGGCCTGGAGATGGTCGTTCAGTAATTAGCATATCAGATGATCTCAAACATCAAAGCTTTTGCCTACCGTTAGTCTGGAATCAAGAAATCACAAGATTTATTACAATATGCACATATTTGAGACATCCTGTAGAAGCCAACTTTACACGCACATGTTTATGCTTGTTCACACTTTTTTTCGTTTATAATTTTCTATGATGGAATTGGTGCCAATGGTGTTTTAATTGTGGCACGATGTTAAATTTTGGCTGGTCGCTGATGATGTACCAGTTGACAAAATTTTGAAGAATTACTGATTTTGAATTGTATGTATTTATTTGTTGTACTATATTTATTCTGTTGTTGCCCAAGTGCCACAGACTCTTCTGATTGAGATTCAAGAGTAGAAATAGAATCTAATGAATAATCAGTGTTGTTACTATATTTAACACTCAGGCTCAGCTAAACCTGTATATTCGGATTTTTTTCCCCCATCATATTTGGGGATCAAGTTCTTGCTCGTAGGGCGTTTATAAGGTTTAAACTATGGATTATATCAAGTCTATGCTAAACAATGTCTAACATTAATGTATGTGTTCGAATGGTCTCTATTGTCATTTGTCATTTGCACAATGCACAGGAGAGAAATTAGTTCTAAGTCATAATTTCTAGCATTTGATGTGGTGATTTGTATTAAATGAGAAATAATCATATTTGGGGATCAAGTTCTTGCTTGTAGGGCGTTCGCAATTTTATTCAAGGTTTAAAATATGGATTATATCAAGTCTATGCTAAACAATGTCTAACATTAATATATGTGTTCGAATCGTCTCTATTGTCATTTGTCATTTGCACAGGAGAGAAATTAGTTCTAAGTTATAATTCCTGTTTGCAATCAACACTGTCAAAAGTGTCCATATGGTAATTTAGGCAAGAGCAAATCTGTCAACTTTACTTTTATCATTATGATTTGTAGACATGAACACAATTATGAAATTTTGACAAGGACATTGTCGCGCAGGGCAACCCTTCAGTAGCTAGACACGAGGATACAGCTATATTTATGTATCTAAATATATGTATCGAGTTGTTATTCACATATAGAAAAACTAAAAGAGTAAAATAACTTTTAAGCAATTAGTTGTTATTCACATGTAGGAGACTCCAATTATATGTTTGAACTACGAAAAAGAGAAATGAGAAAGCAAGTGTTAGCACAAAGCCATTAATCTCGATCTTTGCTAGACATGAGATGTAGTTTAAGAGTCCTGAGAGTTGCAGTGCTTATACTGGACCGTCTATATTACTTGGTTGAACGAGAACAAGTTTCTGGTTGCTTCTTTTTTCTCTCTACTTCTGTTTCTATTTGAAATTACTGTGCCATGCACTAGGATTCTTTTCTGTATTATATCCAATGCTTCTCTGCCAATCATCTCGCAGACTTGGAATGGAAGCTCATCTATGTTGGATCTGCCGAGGATGAGACATATGACCAACTTCTTGAAAGTGTTCTTGTCGGCCCTGTAAATGTCGCCAAGTATCGTTTCGTCTTTGAGGTAATTCTAATAATTTATATTAATATTTTGGAATACCTCATAGACTTATTTCAGCTATATTATTTACGCCATCTTTCCCTTTTCCTTTCAGGCAGACCCTCCAGACCCTTCGAAGATCTGAGATGAAGGCATCATAGGTGTTACAGTTCTTCTACTCACCTGCTCTTATTTGGGCCAAGAGTTCATCAGAGTAGGATACTATGTTAACAATGATTATGATGATTAACAACCCAGATTAGAATCACCATCAAAAGTATTAATCAATAGAGTTCAAAGAAACATCCTCGCTGATAAACCTCGTTACCAAGTTCCCTATTAATTTTCAGCCTGATTCCAATGAAAACGGCGAACAAGAGCCTCCTGCATCTTTACCTGAGAATCATCCTACTGATGATCCTCCACCTGAAGATTCGCCCCCTTTCCCTGACAATGAAGGCTAAAAAGCTTATAAAATTGAGAGTTTTGATAGAATTGAAGCGTTTAACATCTGACTGTATCCTTGGTGATGAAATTTTTGTGTTTCACTGGATGGGCAGTTTATATAAATATCTACTTTTAAAGCTTTTTTGTGATAGGATTTAGTGAGGTTAAAGCCGTGCTTGGACTGTTTTTCAATTCTGTAGTTTTTTTGATAGAATTGAAGTGTTTACGTATATGAAGTGTTTACATATAAGTTTGGTGTGTTTTTGACTGGAATGTCAACTTATGATTAATTATTCTCTTTTCTCTTTTTTGTGTACCTTTGCTTCTTGTTTTTTCTGGCTGTTGTCTTACCATTATAATTCAGTGACTATGAACAATGTCAAGGTGTTGTATGATATTTTATTTACTGCCTTTTCTCATTATGTGATTTTAACGAAATAGTCTTTCTTGTGAGTACTTGATATTAAATTGGTTGAGGCGTACATTAGGACTATGATCATTCACTGATTCATATATGATCCGTATACCATGTTAGTTGCTCTTTTTTTTTTAATGTTCCTCTAAAAAACTTGGTAACTTAGTTTTAAACTAACTATAGAATATAACATACTGTAAACCTTGGAACCTCAAACTGCAAACTTCATATTTGTAGGTTTTGCTAACTATCGCTCATAAGGCAATGAATAAGAAGAAAAGAGGCAAAAAGAAAAGATGAGTGGGGTTCGATGTTTGAGGCTCATTCTCTCTCTTCACTCACTCCTCTTCATCTCTCTCCTCTTTATCTATTGATCCTAGATCAGTGATTAGTAAAACCCTTGGCAATAAAAGCCATCACTTCTCAAACATAGTTACCTAATTAAAATTATCAACGACTCTCATTAATGCCAAATATAAATGTAGTCATATTTTATGAATTTTTCTCATTCTCACTTTGTACTTAAATCATAATTGTTTGCTAACTGATTAATGAAAAATGTTAGTTAAGTGTAATAACAGTTATATTATTCTTGTACTACTAGACACAAAGAAGTAAAGTCTATAGCGAGTCAAGATCTCTCTTTCCAATCTACGAAGAAAGATTCTATTTTTTTATATGTAAAAGTACAAAATTAGTATAACTCTTATGTACAGTTATCACGATCATATATAGCTTCATTGCAACGTTGCTCGTTATTTATGACTCCACACTGTGTAGTTGTGATGCTGTGCAGTAATCTATGCTTTACACGGAGTATTTCTCAAACGAGGATTACTCTCTAACCACGTAACTTCTCATAATTAGTCTTGTACATATTCCATGTTTGAGTCAAACACGGGACCCCATCAACAATGCTCTAAATCGTCTGCTACTAACGCCGCTGTTGGAAATCTCGAAATTACCCTTCTCACTCCACAACATTCAGATTCTATCCGTGGGTAGTATTTTAAAGCACCCTAGAGGGGGAGGGGGATGAATAGGGTTTACGCTAATATAATCCGATTTAATATCAAATAAAAACTTATTAACAAATTATCCTAGCAAGTATGAAATACAACAAGATATATGAGGTAGGATATGCAATTAAACTAAGGGCGATGTAAACATGAGATAATAATGATATAGAATGTAATAAACAATGAGCACAAAAAATACGCTAAGGCAAACTCAAACACACAATATGATCACGGAGTTCGGTCCTTCCGACCTACGTCTCCGCTCCCCACTCCCGGGAAGAATCCAAAAGAAAACCGAGCACAAAATATACAGAAACCTAGCATATGCACACTAAATTGAACACAAACAGAAGATATACTCACAAAGCCAACCGAAAATAGCATATGCACACCAACAACATCAAGTACCAATGAACAACCATCCAACAATCAGCAGGTGGCTACTGATTTTTGCTGAGGGCTCAGAATTTGATCAATATCATCATTGTTAGCCATCCAATACAATATCAATAGATATTATAGGTTGTTAATCTCATATATTATGACAATCATCATAGCCTAAAATATAAATATTAGCCAATGTAAACTCGTTTTATGAAAACTTACTTCACAAAATACCCAGAGCAATAGCCATCCAGTACAATGTGTGCACATTGTAGGTTGCTTGCATCTTAGTAAATTATATGATGACTTATAAATATCCTGTAGTCACAAGTTTAATTTAAAGGTTAGTACACCACAATATTCACACTACGAAAGGTAATATTACAAAATGGAAGCAAATAACTATTTACTACAATAAAAATATAATATTAGCCATTGTCATACTATTCGACAACCACAAAAATAAATATAATCTCATAAAAGTAGTGTCTCTAAACCAAACAATATTAGTCTTTAACCATAATTAAAAAAGTTTTTTCAAACATAAATGTGCTTAAGTGATAATCATAAAATACCATGAACACCCATAACGTATAGGCCTTCAATCCTCTTTGTTGAGAAATGACTCAATCATCTCCTTCTGACCAACCGATGATATGCCCATAAATAGTCTAGATTCATGCCCATTCATAAAGAGGTGACGATAGTATCTATCTAACTTGGCAACATCAAAGTCATGTGAATTAGCATATAGGACCGTGGATAACTTCTCGGTCCAATGCATATTTACACACTTTATGTTGGTGCTAAATACATCTATCTTATCCACCATTTTTAGCATGATCTCACTATCTAGGCTGGTCTTACGAGCCTTTACCTTGGTGGAGGATGACTTAGCCTTAGAACTTGATATGTTGAGTGCTTCCTTAGGAGGAGTGTCATCATCATCTAAAATGTGTACTTGAGTAGATTGGGGAGAATGTGTTGGTGAGTTCGCCTCATCTCCAAGATTTATGGTCTCACTACGGCTAAACTTTTTTCAAGCATCACTAGCAAATTGACATGTAGCTTGATCATCCCCGATGATAAGGGCGAGATCATCATAATGCCTCAAGGGTTTATTGATATATTGTCTAAGCTTAGCATTCTTAAAGCTCTTATCCTGAGAAAAATATATTTTAATTAATTCAATGATAACAACAAAAGAAATAAAAAATAAATCTATTCTTTGACCAAAGTTTTTTACCTCAATCCACCTATCCAAACATTCAGGATCCATGATGACAGTCTTCGTATTATCATCCCATCCGGCACCACTAAGATTACGACTAGTTTCCATATCACGAAATCTTGTTCGTAGAGTTTTTATGCGGTGCATGACATTATCCCACTTAAAAAAATGTGTTAAACATCTCATTAATGTGTTGAGAAGCCATATGAAAAGCGGTTCTCTTAAAGATTTTGTCGGGTTTGTAACCCTTTCTTACTAAGTCGGCAAGAAAAGGAATGAGCTCATCATCATAACGGGAATCCCAGAACAAATGTTTGGTCTCTTGAGAACCACCAGCTTCAGCATTATTTTTGGGTGTGGTGTTTTTCCTCTTCTTCTTTGGATTTGGTGACGTTTCTACCCCTTCTTCTACGAGGTCTCGTTTGGAACCTGAATCTGGAGTTGAACCATTACCGCTAGTGGGAGAAAGCTGCACCCCACTAAGATTAGGACTGTGAAATTGTGGAGGCAAAGTTGGATTATTCAGCATGTTTGTATATGACCCCAGATGATGGTGCATTGGAAAGTAGCTGCTATCATGGAATGATATATTTGGGTATGCTTAAGGTGGTTGAACAAAGTACGACTGCCGCAATGAAAAATACCCATCATCGCCGTGATGCACCGACTGAGGGGGTTGAGGTGGTTGGGAAGGTGATGGAACTACTTCCTTGTCTTTTTGATTATCTCTCTGTGACGCCCCTGGTTTCAACAAGGCTATAGTCCGAGGTGAAACCAAGAATGTCAAACCTGCCATGCACTACACCGTGCAATAACATGTTTCACCATCTTAATAAATATCTATCTAGTAGAATCAATAATGGGTGTAGGTACAAAACAGGCAAAAGCGAATATACCTAAGAAATATTAAACAACAGATACTCTAAATAAAATAATCACCATTGATATGAATAAATAAATCTTTGAGAAGAACTAACATCTGAGCTGAATACAAATGTCTTGACATAGGAAATCAAATGAAATGACATTTAAAGCACCTCGCCTTTACAAAGCTAGAAATAACATCTCAATGTTCATAAAATCAAATGAAATGACATTTAAAGCACCTCGCCTTTACAAAGCTAGAAATAACATCTCAATGTTCATAAACAAAACCATCGTGGAGTCCTAACAATAAACTGCTAATAATATCTATAAATAGCTGCTAGAATAACTCTATCAAGCTATGGCTCTCCGTGCACCTGGCTCATTACCTGAAAGTGACGAAACAACGAGCGTCAAAGCGCTAGCGAGTAACATCTCAACCAACCCCAAGGGGAAGGGCTAGAAGGATATGAAAATAGTTGATAATACATATAGATAGTCAAAACATCAACTCTGAAATAAAAATGAAAGTTTGATATTTAGGAATTTACAACATACGCGTGGGTAACTCACAATCCCATAAGCTCATATTATAAATAGCTAACTATCAAATCCAAACTACAACGTGAAGTAATGACTCCATCTCCAACCATACCATAAATGATCTGTCATATGTCAAATATGAAATTCTGAAATAGCTCAAGGTCCAACACGAGGACTGTAGTAGATTATAGTCCAACACGAGGACTGTAGTGAATTATCTCTCCCACTTAATAATGTATTATAAGCCATTACTAATTAAATAGATAAAGTCAGATAACTGAAAGAATAGCGACATGAATTCATAGATTTAAAGCAAAATGTAAATACTGGAAATAGAGCTATTTGGTACATATATGAGCATAAATAGAACATAAATAAAAATCAAGTCTCTGTGGTTACACCATGATTATACTTATCACAGTAGTCCATCCACATCGCCCAAGCAATGTTACCCCTAAGAGTCTTCCACTCATTTCTTGATTCAATTTGCTCTCTTTGAGTTTGGTTTTGAGTAAAATCAACTAAATTAGTGTCATTCTCGAAGGCCACCTCACCATCAATGTCTTCATTAAATTGATCATTGTTGAGTAGTTCATCATTTAGATCCACAGTTGCAATGAAATTATGGAGTACCGAGCATGCCAATACGATATCTACTTGTATAGGAAAAGGATAATGCGGCTTAGCACACAA